TTTAGTGCCATGCATTACCTACTGAGTAACATATGGGTGATGTGGCTTCACCTCTGTACCTTCTTCTCCCCAGTTGCTATATGCACACGCTCAGAGATGGAAGATTTTCTCCGAGAGGCTGCCTGCATGAAAGAGTTCGACCACCCCAATGTCATGAGGCTCCTTGGTGAGTTGGCATTTTTGCTGCTTGGCATGTCAAAAGTTGGCAATTTCGAATTGCAAAAGGTTGTGTTTTTTCTAATTTACACTTAATGATACATAGCCATTTAGGTTTTGAAATTTCTGTCTGCATCCAACTGAAAACGCTGGAGGCATTTGTTGCTCAATGCAGCTGTTTTTTTAGGACGATCCACAAAACTCACAAAGAAATGTTAGCGATATACTGTGTATTCTGTGTAAGAGCCAAAGAAAACAGAGCCATAGAATAAATCCTTTGTGTTGCAGTTATTGTGTGTTGTTTCTTCATAGATGAAGACATTTATTTAAATACACAGTCAAGACTTTGGGGATTAAAAGTAAAATGACGTTAATTTCTGAACAGACAGAACAGGCATGAAGTCTCTGTGCATACTAAGCTCTTTTTGTGTTTTGCTTTTTTTAATAGGTGTGTGTCTACAGACTGTGGAGAGTGAAGGATATCCCTCCCCTGTGGTCATCCTGCCGTATATGAAACATGGAGATCTGCACAGTTATCTGCTATACTCAAGGCTGGGAGACTGTCCTGTGGTTAGTCTGATTATAGCAAACAAATGCACAAAATCAGCAACAGACATGCACACTCACAGTCACCTATGCATATATGCACACGTACAGTCCCACACAGTTTAACAGCTTAATAAGTTCACATGTCTGTCAGCTAAATGGGTTCCAAAGTTCAACAGAGATTCAAAGATCTCTTAAACACGTCTCCGCCCATACTTTTTCCGGCAACACGTAAAGTCAGAGATTATGGAAACACAAGTCTTTATTTGAAGTGTTACGTATTAATACTTATTTTGGTTTTATGTTTTGGTTTTTTAAACTGACTTACGCAGTAAGTCCCTGAAGAGCGAAGTTGGGTAACACAAGCCTAATCAAAACAAGATCCATACACAGTATTGAAACACCCATGCACAGTTTCCAAGAACACAGTGGAGCTGAACTCTATTGTTTCCACATGAGGAGTATCGGGAGCAAAGGAGTGCTCCATTCAGACTTGAAACACGATGGGCTCTGGTGCCCTCTATTGCACAGAAAATACACGTCAGCTTTGTTAGACAAAGAACAAAAACAAAACTTATTTCTCTCTGTATTATCCTGCAGTACCTCCCATCTCAAATGCTGGTTAAGTTCATGACCGATATTGCCAGGGGAATGGAATACCTCAGCAACAAGAACTTCATCCACAGAGACCTCGCTGCCCGCAACTGCATGTAAGCACAATCTCTGCTTCTGCATTTTGCTCTTTCACTTCCTGTGGGTGTTCTCGTTTGCTCTTTCTCTTTCCTTTTTTTTCATCCAACATACAATGGTTGGAGAAGATCTCGGTAAAGAAGTAAAGCAAGAACTACAGACTTTGCTTAATATTAAACATGACTATTAGATGTCAGTTTTAGGCATTAGTCTCTTTTTTTGCTAGAATAAAAGACTAAGGATGCAAGCAAGCCTTGCCATCCACACTTTTAAGCTTAAATTTCAAAACTTATATTTTAACTACTGATTTTATCTACTGTTCTGATTTTATCTACTGTTTTTTTAATCAATTTTAAATCATGCTTTTTATTGTTTTTTAATGTCTCTGTAAAGCACTTTGAATCACCTTGTTGTTGAATTGTGCTATATAAATAAACTTGCCTTGCCTTGCCTTGCCAGTTTATGAGTGGTATAAAACAGTGGTCCCCAATCCCCGGGCCTCGGACCGGTACCGGTCCGTGAGTCGTTTGGTACCGGGCCGCGAGAGTTGAGGCTCAGGTGTGAAATGTAGGGTTTTTATCGGTTTTCAGCGTTATTTTGTTATCGTTTTTATCGTTAACTCGGTTTTTCTGGGTCTTTTCACGTGTGTTATGAATAAATCTTCTTTTTTTCGGTACCGGTACTAGTTTTATTTTGTTGTATTTATCCGCGACACCTTAAAGACCGGTCCGTGGGCAAAAAAGGTTGGGGACCGCTGGTATAAAACAAATGTTTTGGATGTTAAACCTAAATAAGACTGTCGATATGTAGATACTGTTCAATATATATAGGACCAACACAAGTGTAATAACTCTAGCTCATGTCTAAATGCTCTTTTGCAGGCTGAATGAGAATATGAATGTATGTGTGGCTGACTTTGGCCTCTCCAAGAAGATCTACAATGGAGACTACTACAGACAGGGCAGGATCTCCAAGATGCCTGTAAAATGGATCGCCATTGAAAGCTTAGCTGACCGTGTCTACACCACAAAGAGTGATGTGGTAAGTTTATCTTCTGTGTGTTTGTTACTGTGTGTCCTACAGTACAGAGCAAAGGCATTCAGTATTAGAGAGGCTTGGGAACAAAAATACACCTTCTCAAAAAGTAACAATGTGTTTTGGGAATTAAAGCTGTATAGTCAAATTTTTTTAGAAGACCTGAAGTACTTAGAAACAAGTGCTTTATACATTACTTAAGCATACCAGCTGGTCATGAAGACAAAATTATTTACCAAAATATCTGTAAATGTCAGTATATGCATAAATATGTCCTGACCAACATCTGTGAGTGATATCAACTTTAGCAGCTGGTAAGCTAATGACATATACAGTATTTTTAAGGGCCTAAGTGTCCATGCACATGTGCAGTTGTGTTTATACAGTGCAGCACTTAAAATGATCTGCATTCTTTAGTGCTTGTTCATAAAGCAGGATGTCTGAAAATCCAAGACAAACATGACTGTGATATTTTTCCATAGCCAGTGTTTGACCAGTGTAGACTCATGTTTCACTAATGTGTGACAAGGTGTGTAAAGTCTACAGGAATTCGTGCTAAACCCTTCCTCGCCCTCTCTCTCTTTATTTCCCTGTACGCCTCTCCATCTTTCTCTTGCTCCCTCTTAGTGGTCATTTGGAGTCACCATGTGGGAAATCGCCACTCGGGGTCAGACGCCATACCCTGGGGTCGAAAATAGTGAGATTTATGATTATTTGAGACAAGGAAACCGTCTCAAGCAGCCTCCAGACTGTCTGGACAGCATGTGAGTATCCTTGACAAAAAACACTTTGCTGATAATGAAATCTTTTCCCTTTTCATTTCACTAGCTGGACCCACGTCCTCATTTTAGGTTTGACAGCGTTTTAGTAGGTAAAAGTGAATGTTTTGACATGAATTGAGCTGCGGTTTGGGGAAGGCCTCGAAGGGGCCTGGCAGATCCCCATGCACTAAATAGAAATGAAGAAGTTAAAGAATTGAGAACAAGGAGGGAGGGAGGGTGGGGCACGTGAACGAGAATGAACAGCTTGCAGAACTGGGGGAACCTATATAGATGACAACCGGAAGGAGCGTGTTTGGAGGCGTGGTCCCGCTCCAGAAATTCCGATACATAAGCTCCAATAGAAGTACCCTGTTTCCATAAAGGCTACACGCTTAAAGACTTCTCCAGTCTTTCTGCTTTTACAGCAGTCACACTGACATTATACATAATTGCACAGAAAACTGAAGTGAGGAAAAAAGAGGATTTTGTATTAAAATATAAACTAAAATTTAACATGAGCCAAACGGACCTTTTAAGATCAAGGGGGAAATATAGAGCTAATTATTAGAAATTATCCGATATTTAAAAGTATGGAATGCATGCTCTTGTCCAGGAAAATAAATTACATAGAAATGCAGAACTGTTTATTTCTATAAAAGCATTTGGTTACCATGGGATATTAAATGTCACTGTTATCATGCTAACAGTACATTCTCCACTAACATTCTTTTGTCTCCTCCAGCTATTCCCTGATGTTCTCCTGCTGGCTGCTGAGCCCAAAAGATCGTCCATCATTCGAGTCACTGCGCTGTGAGCTCGAAAAAGCCCTTGAGGATCTGCCGGACCCACAAGATCCAGATGAGATTCTATATGTGAACATGGACGAGTCCTCCATGGAGCTCGGAGCCGTTGGTGGTCGTGACCCCACTGGACGCTCATCCCCTCTCTGCTTGAAAGGCCTGGAGTCTGTGACCACAGTGGAGGTCCACCACCCCAACCGTTATGTCCTCTGTCCACAGCACGAAACCAACCGAACCCTTTCTGACTCCATGGAGAGCCTGGACATGCCAGTATCATCCTCCACAGCCACATTGCCTCTACAGTCATCATGCCACTCCACTCCCAATCGCACTCCAACTGTTGAGCTGCTCGAGGACAGGAATGGATCCAAGAAAATGCCCTGGCAGTGACAGACTCACTGCCTAAAAATGACAAGACTGGTCACTGCCAAAGTGTGCTATCCCAGTACAAGTACAAAGAACAAAATCCAGCCCGTCGCTGATTCTTTCTAACAGCAAGAAGAAACCTTATGTGGCTCTTTATATATAATTTGCACAGACATACTCATAAACAAGCAGCCAAATTCATTCCAAGGACGTGAAGGACTGATATTTTATTTTCAACCCCTTTCTTATAAGATGATGGGTTGAAAAAACCTTATAAGCCAACCTTGTCTTATGAAGTTTTATTACACTATCCAGAGCCAAGTGGGTGTAGAATTTCATTTGCTGTAGCAGCTGGGTACACCCTTACCAATAAGAGGGTGAAGAGGGCTACATTACATGTTACAATGCCACACACACTGCAGCAGAATCAGTGAAATGAATTCCCTTTTGCTTTAGCTGTAACACACCATTTCTGTTTAACTACCTGAATGCAAAAGAGTAATTAAGCTAAAAAAAATAAAATAAATAAACCTCTTTGTAAAAACAGCTCAGACACTGCCAGACTAAACCCAAAAGCTTGAACTTTACAGTGAGTCAGCACTTGTATGGAGGACCTGTCACACCCAAGGAAACATTTTTTGAAGCAGAAACTCCACTCATTCTTGGAACAAAGAACCAGCAGAGCCTGTTTTACACAAGGTGAATTATCTGATCAGAAAACTTGTTTTTAAGGTTATGTTAATACCTACAGTAAGAGAGTTTATGAAAAGGTTAAGAATGCCTTGCTTGATTGCCTTAACTTAACCCTATTTTTAATTATCTTACAAATTGTCAAAAGTGTCAAAATATGAACTTCATGGAGGAGGTTGTGCATGATGCTCAACCTCCTCCATGGAGTGCAGCCAACAGTTGCACAGTGTTGGCTGCACTCCATCTAAGGATTTATTCCCAATATACATCTTAAAAATAAATAAATAAATTGCAAATAAAAGTAAAGGTACTTCATTAAAAACATAGTAATAATACAGGATTTGCATTCATAGTGTGCCGCTGTAACAAAGAGTTGTATCTTCCCCAGGGGTTTTTATTGTTGGTTGTGCATCAAGTACACTGAGCGATTCATAGTGTGAACAAAACAAGTCTTTCCTCACTGACAGTTGTTACGTGTGCATGTCCTGATTCACGTATGTATATATCTTTGCTATAACTCAGGAATCTGAGGATTTTCTAGAGGGACAGACGTACTAGTCAAATCAGGAGGACAGAGATGATTCAAGGTACAGGTGGATGGATGTAGGAAACGAATCCATTATCCATGACAATTGATGGGATAAACTCTTTACCTTTACTTTTTTATGTCAAGCACAGTGTTATTACACTTTTTTTTTAAAAAATGCTGATTTTTGTATTTCTACAACTTGCACTAATGTTTTTGTATCTGTGTGTGTTTATAATGTGTGTATCTTTTTGTTTCGGGTTTTTTTGTTGTATTTCAGTTATTTCCTATTCTTAGTAGCAGAAAACACACCTGAGAGAACATGACACATTTGCAGTATTTTCTGTTGATGGGAAGAGTCTGGGAGACTGGAAAACATCACTAACCTCGTCATGTGACATCATCCTGCCACTTGTTTGGCGCTGTACATAGCAGAATCCAAGAGAAAGACACAGCAGTATGCACTTATTTTTTATGTATTTGCATTAGTTTATAATTTTGTCATTGGAATGGCCTTGACAATAATCTGGCACACATTTCAGGATGAGAAAAAATGTCAGTGAGGCGCTGTGTTTCTTAGTTGTATACATCAAAGGTACTTGTATATAAAATAGTATGTTATACTAGTAGCATTATGGAAATTCCTTGTTAAAAGTGTACATTTCTTGTAATAGCTTTGGTACTGTAGACTCAGTGGGAGTACCACATTGTTTCTGAACCACAAACAGTGGTGCTGAGGCTGAGGTACTGGTTTAAATTTCCATGTTCAGATGCTATACCACTTTGAATGCACATATGTCTCCTGTTTTATATCTGTGTCTTTGGAGTATTTTGGTCCAAAAATGAGCTTCCAACTGTATTCCAGCAAAAACTGAAACTCCATCTTACATTCAAAGCCTTAAATTTTATGATTTTACCAAGTGCCTTCACAGAGCCAGTATTTTGCATTACAGTGCATGTGTGTGTCGACTGCGATTTTTCCTGTTGTGTTTTTTTGAATTGGGAGAAAATTGTACTATAATTGCCTTATATTGTCACTGTAATGATTTGTAAACAAATTTTTATACAGTATATACACTATTTTGCATAAGAAATAAATCAGTTAATTCATGAATGATTCATGATTTGTTAATTCAGTTAACATGGTATAAACAATACAGCAGATACTGAGGTGACATTTGATCTTATTGAGATATCTGATCTCAAAGCAGGTAAGAAACTGAGATAAGCAACTCTGTGGATGAGATATTTTTGAAATATGTTATTTAAAAAAATAACATTTTTTGAAAGATGCACAAAATTATTTATTTCTTTAGTGTGTGGTATCAGAAGTGGATGTAGGAGATCTGCACATCGCCTTCTATCTCCAGCATGTCGATCTCATTGAAGGACTGCCAGCGATGGGAAAAGTCAAACAGGTGCTGCCCGTTCACAAACACCTTAAACCTCTGGTTCCCACAACGGATTGACATCTGAGGGACAGAGAGAAAACTTTTGAATGCTGACACACAAAGTTGTCTAGAATTTGCCAAAATCACATTAAAATTTGCTTCTAAAATTCATCATAAGGACTTGATATTACGACTGCATGACTGATGCTACTTACATCAAAGTACTGGCCCTCCATAAATGGATTCATGCTCATTTCTCTCTCCTCCTGGCCCCAGTTTCCTCCAATCATACTGTTTCTTACAACAATTCCTTCCCTGAATCTCGGATAGATGTGGAAAGCGACATCTCGAGATCTGCTCACCAAAAACTTGATGCTTAATCTGAAACACACATCCATGAGCGTTAAACATTCATGTTAGCACTTTAGTACTGCACTAGAGATTTCGGCAAGTAGTCTTAAAATCACACACTTGTGTGCTCCATAGGGAACCATGCCTCTGATGACGATAGTCCTCTTAGGGAACATCCCTCCTGGGATGATGTTGGAGTAGGGCACAGGCTTAAAAA